GCCCGGGCCGGGCCGGGGGCCCCCCCCCCCCCCCCCCCCGAGTGCACAAATTTTTGTGCACCGGGCCCCTAGTAAACAAATAAAACAGAAAAGACTCACAGCCCTAGCCAGTTTGGCTCAGTGGATAGAGCATCGGACTGTGGACCAAAGGTCCCGTGTTCGATTCAGGTCAAGAGCACGCACCTCGGTTGCAGGCTTCTCCGTGGCCCAGGCTTGCAGGAGGCAACCAATCAATGTGGTTCTCTCACATCGATATTTCTGTCTATCCCTGTCTCTTCCATTCTCTCTAAAAACCAATGGGAAAATATTCTCTGGTGAGGATTAAGAAAAAAAAAAAAAAGAAGACTCACAGGTATAGAGAACAAACAGGGTTGCCAGATTGGAGGAGGGCTGGGGGGCTGGATGAAAAAGGTGAAGGGATTAAGACGTACAAATTGATAGTTACAATATAGTCATGGGGATGTAAAGTACAGCATAGGGAATATCGTCAATAATATTGTAATAGCTATATATGGTGTCAGGTGGATATTAGAAAAATCAGGGGGAATATTTCATAAATTATATAAATGTTTAGCCACGATGCTATACACCTGAAACTAATGTAAAATAATGTTAAAAGTCAAGTGCAATTGAAAAATAAATAAATAAAAATAATATGGAAGAGAAAGAAGAAAGAAACACACTCCACAGTTGGCAGTGGCTGGGGGAGGAGGGAGCCTGACGGGACTGGAGTGTGTGGTGTTCCCTCGGGTGGTGAGTGGGAAAGGCTGAGAAACGACGACACAGAAGAACAAACATGGAAAAATATTTGACGGCAACAAGAAAGCAGTCTAAAAAGTGAGCATCCTCATCTTAGTTTTTATTTCTTTTACAAAATCATTGTTTTAAAACTTTCTTACAAAAATTTTTTAAAAGACAAAAATGACATGCAGGAAATGAGAATAGTATTCCTCTAATACAAAGGCAGTAAAGTAAACAATTTTTCAGGTGCTAGACAGCACACATAGCACAGTCATTTGCCAAACCAGAACCCCCTGAATTAATCACTTCTGGTTTGTCCAGCATCGGTGTTACTGGTTGTGGGAGACAATTTGCCTGAACTGCTCTCTTTTTCTGCATCCGGTGTGGTAGCCTCCTCCCAAGTACTTATCAGAGGCTTCCGGAGGGTTTCTGGAAGTTGGAATGTTAGAATTCCACTCACAAAGGCCAAACACCCAATAAGCAACTAGCAGGAATTAAAAAAAAAGAAAGAAAGAAGAAATAAATGACACATCAAGAAATAAATGTATCCTTCAGCGAATAATAATTCTGAACCTTTTTCAGAGGGAAACAGAACTGAATTTGACATACCAGCTGACATTTTTTTAGCAGCAAGACCTTTGGTGACTGAGGCTGGACTGGGAGTTCTTGAACTCACCGTCTAGGCTTAATCTGATCACTCATGAATTCATTCCTGAACCACTGTGGCGCCCCTACTCCATCAGTCCCAGGTGCTGTCCTGGGAGCTGCTACACAGAGAAAAAAGGCCCTGTCCCCTTTTCCCAGGCTCCAGAGTCTTGTGGAGAAACCCAACTACTGAGCCTTGGGTTGGGACTTCATGGTCAGGCACTGTCTTAATCAACCCTGTCCTTGCCCTGATGATCATTACTCTATCGTCATTCAATAAATGATGGGGAATGAATGAATGCATGCACAAATAAATATTTCAATGAGCCAAAATCTACAGAGTTTAAGGGGAAACCAAACAAGGGCAAGGGAAATGAATTGCTACTTTAGAGAGTGGGGTGGTCCACCTGACCTCCTAGAAAAATCCCCCTGCCACCCTGGCCAGCTCCCTCCCTCCCACAAACATCCCAACAGCGCCCCTCCCCTCCCCTTCCTCCCTGGACGACGGGGAGGAGCCTTTCATCCTCTCCAGGTCCCACTGCCTCTCACCTCCTTCTCCAGGTCTTCCTCCATCTGCAGACCTCCCTCCCTCTCACAGATTTATGACCTTTTCCATGCCACCGGCTAGTAAAAATAAAAGTCCTCAAGCCTCTTATAATCTCCAAACCCACTCTGCCCAGTAACTTGCTACCAGTGTGGCCCTGGACAAGTTACCTGACTTTTTTACTCCTTGGTTTCCTTATCTGTGAAATGGAAATACTAATAGTGCCGGTCCCAAAAGACTGTTGAAAGGATTAAATTAAATAACGCCTACAAGGCACTTAAAAGAGTGCCTGGCCCATGGTAAGCAGTGGATACATGATATCTTTTAAAACAAGCAAAAGAGGCCCATCCTCTCCACAGTGGTCACTGCCTCCTCTCTCAGCTCTCCTTCCACCTGGCCCTCAGCAGCCTGGCCCTCTCCCACCACCCACAGAAGCTGCTCTACCATCTCAGCAAGTTTCTATAAAGTGATTAAACACCTGGGGTATAAAGATCCAAATGCTGGAGAGGTTAATGGAGAACGGGGCCATGATGCTTCCCGCACGGGACACCATGCTGCCACTTCCCACGGCCTGTGTCCTAAAAACAAGAGGAGAAGTAAGACAGATACAGGCAAGAATGGGAGACAAGTGGAACACAGATGACACAGAGAGTGATGGAACAACTTCCTGCAGCCCCTGTCCACCCTCCAGCAAATAGTAAATAATACAACTTCAGCTTGGCTTCATATACTTGGAAATAATTTTACTTTAATTTTTCAAGAATCACTCATGATTTAAATCCACATTCTGCGATGGTATGTGCAAGCATGCAAATAATTCAAGACCCAAAAACTATTCTTCCTCCGGTAGGGAGATGAGGCCCTCATGTATATTCAGTCCGTCTATTATTGAGGACAACATCAATTTCTAGAGCCGGAATTTGTTTGGGGTAGGAAGTGGGAATTTGGGAGATTTATCTCTATGGAACATTTTCTTTATTTTTTAAAAGTCAAGTGATATCTTAATGTGCTTTTCTTTGCAAGGTATTTAGCCCAGGCCAGGTGGCTCAGCTGGTTGGAGCATCGTCCGTAGGTTGCAGGTTCAACCCCCAGACAGGCATATACCTAGGTTGTGGGATTGATCCCCAGTCAGCTCTTGTACAGGAAGCAACCAGTTGATATCTCTCTCTCTCTCTCTCTCTCTCTCTCTCTCTCTCTCTGGTTAAAAAAAGAATTTTTTAAAGGTATTTAAATAACCTTATAAAATATCTAACAGGAAACAATGTGCTTTTCATGTGAGTATCTTTTCTTACACCAAAGAGAGAGACCCAAGGAGAAACCAAACCTGCCAAACACGTTGATCTTGGACTTCTAGCTCCCAGAACTGTGAGAAAATAAATTTCTGTTGTTTGAACCTCCCAGCTTTGGGGTTTTGTTATAGCAGCCCTAGCAAACTAACACAACTGAATCAGAACACCAAGAGACACATCCTGAGAAAATTAGCCTGCGTCAATGGACAGTCAGCGTAAGTCAATTATATTTGAGATTTAAATTGGTTTTAAGATAACAGAGTGTTATTTCAAAACAATTTCTTTACTACCCTTGCTAATGGAAGTATAGACAAAGTTTCAGATTCGGAATGAGCATCATGTAACTTCCCCATATCTTAGAGTTCAGGTAATGGCTTTGAAAGTAAAGCATTTATACCCAAAGGCCAAATATAAGGAAATGATATGTAAGTGAAAGATAATAGGAAAACAACAACAAAAAATAAGTAACTCTTGCCTTATCACGGTTGGATATAGTTCTGCTGTGTAAAGGTAAATGAGGCCAAACGCTGCTCCTATGGCAAATTTTCCAGCCATAGTTGTCACCATAGTCCAAAAATAGTACTTCTGAAAAAAGATGTTAGCAGAAAGACTGTCATAAGTAATTAAAGAAAAATATAAAAACTTGAAAATTATTATTTAAAACTTTTTAATCCTCCAGTATTTTTCACAACAGTGAAGAGTTCTATTTTTCTGTTTGAATTCATTTTGTAAACTCTACTCATGGCCTGCAAAAGCTTTCCATCTTTATGAAATTTAGGGAAAACTTTGTGCCTCCTCCTCAGCCTTGGAGATTTCAAATGACCAAATAAGGAAAGAATATCTCTTGGGGAGATTGCTGTGGAACAAGAAACATCCAGACTTCCAGACATGCCGGTTCCACCAATAACTGACCAACTCCTGGAACTGAGCCAGCAGAATAAATCAAAGAGCCATAAAAACAAATTGTGCCCTTTGCAGCAATAATCCCACGGCTTATAAATTATCTTCAGAGAATAATTTGAAAGTGATAACTCAACTATTAGTACAGACTCTCCACCCTCCCACCCCCTGCCCTTTGGCTGATGCATTCATCAACAAAACCTCTCATTTCGCCTCCCACTGCGTCCCACTGCCAGCAGTGGCTCACAAGGACCTTTCATAGTCCATCCCTTCTCTTCCCCCTTATATGCCAGCTGGATGTTGAGACCCAGACAACCTGGAGTTCATGTGTTGAGGATGGCAGCGCCTCTGTCAATCTGAGTCCCTGAATGACTCCATGGAGCCAGACATATTCTCCTCACCATTCCCACTGCTACCAACCAGGTACACACACATCAGACTTTCTATGAGCAAGAAATCAGCTGGTGTCACCTTGTCATATTAATCAGTATTGTAGAGAATATTTGTTGAATAAATTACTGTGACTTAAAAAATGTATATTGTGTTATCACTGCCATTTGGGGAGAAATTTTACCAGTTCAAAGGCAGCTGCCATCAACTCAACTAATATCAATGCAAAGTACCTAAAAACACAAACAAAAACAAGTATGGATGAAGCTCCCTCAAATTGGCAGAAACCTCCTCATCCTGAGTAGTTTTATTGTATTCATATCTGTTGTATATTAATCACCACCTGGAAATTTCAGTTACATGAAACATTCAAGTCACCAATCCTGATAATTCAGTAAAGTATCACTATAAAAGAAAGTCACTGGTTAGGTTAAATGTAATGTCAAACAATATACAAAACCGGAGAGAAACCAAGATGGCGGCATTGGTAAACACAGGAAATTGCTGCCTCGCACAACCACTTCAAAAATACAACTAAAAGACAAAACGACATCATCCAGAACCACAGGAAGGCTGGCCGAGTGGAAATTCTACAACTAGAAGGAAAGAGAAAAGCACACTGAGACTCAGAGGAGGTGCGGAAGTAAAGTGCAGAAGTACGGAGGCGCACGTGGAAAGGGCTGGCAGCTGAGGACACGGTTGTCTTTTTCAATTGGGAGGGAGTCTCAAGCTCCTGACTGCTCTGAACTCCAGTTCCGGGTGAGTCTCTGGAGACCCAGACTCATATGGGGAGAAACTGGACTGTCTGGCATCAGTCAGAACTTGAGGGTGGCTTTCTCTCAGAGATGCTTGCAGCGATTACTGGGACACTGAGACTCGGGGCCTCTTAGGGCAGGACTGAGGAGCAGCCATAGCTGCTTGCTCTGCCCTGTTGATCCCCTGAGACCCCGCCCCACCCAAGCTGTGCTCAGAGGCTTTTGCATATGAAAGGCCTGGCCCTTTGCAATCTGAAAATTACCTGACAAACTGCAGCTGGATCAGAGAAACCCAGAAGATCCAAAAGAAGGCCCAAGGCTCCAAAGCAGCTTGCATTGCTTCACAGCTGGGCTCCTGCTGGGTAGCCTCAGGCAGAGGCTAAATTAGCACCTCCTTAGAAATCCAAGAGCCAGTGTACCCAGTGGTAAGAGTGGGACCATCCAGATTACAACTCCTCAGACCCATAAGGGACACACTCAGGGTGCAGACTCAGTGAGCACCAA